AATTATCAGCTGAAGAGTGGCAACAATTTGAAGCAAAGGAGTTCACAATTGGAAAGATTCCTCTTAAGCCTCCACCATTGGAACTTTTAAATGCTCACAACCTTTTAAGTTTATTCAGAAGTAACATGTTTTGAAATTAAATAAAATTCTAATGTTGTTTCATCTCTCAAGTCTCCTGCAGGAATAAAYTTGCAGGTATAAACATGTGAACATTTATTTTATAATTTCTTAGTTGTTTTGGGACAAACTTTTTACATTTTAGAAACAGACTGTTGAAAATAAATTGAACATTTCCTTTTGTTTGCTGTCCTGTGAAATTCTGGGGAAACACTGTATATAAAAAGGTGGTGTCAAAAGAAACAGTGCTTCWGTCAAGTGTTCACAGCCTACTGTGAATGGAACCCTAGAAAGACAAGGTGCAGTGTAAGACTGCTTGTTGCTGGACAGCCTTGTCTTCTGCCTCTTCGAAGGGTTGTGCAGCATTGGAGGATTGTGTGTTGAGAGGGATGGCTCCTTTGCTGTCTGTGCCACACTAAACCCTTCTGTCCCCAGAGGAGCGTCTCTCTGTCCCTGTTAACACAATTGAGCTGGTTTTAGTAGTTTTGCCTGAGGTCACCCAGCCTACAGGAATGTCACACAGTTGGGAGAGGGCAGCTCTGAAAGCATTCATCCTGAAGAAGGAGATTGTGGTTCTGTTTTACCTCTTAGGTGAAACTTTGCAAGCAATTGCAAAACTGCCTTTCTGTGAACCGATGGCGCTTTGTTGTGAGTTTCTCAAAACTCGATGGGTGTGGATATTACCTTTTATGAAGTCATGATGTTACAGTATCAATTTTGTTGCCAAGACACTCTAAAGCAGGAGTCAGCAATCTTGCAGAGGATGTCCTAGACTCAGGGAAGGAGCATGAGGAGCAGCGTTTGCTCTTGACCAGGCCCTCTCCTTAGTGGTTTAATATTGCCAAACCTTATCTTTAAGAGGAAAGCAAAAGTTTACTCCAGGATACACATAATGAAGTCAATTGTTTCCTTAATACCTGTAGGCTCACTATGGACCTCGTGGTCCTACGTAAAACTTCTCTAGTGTGTATCCAACCACAGGTCCATCAGGCTTGCTAAAACAGTGGGAATAATTGGAGCAACATCTAGAGTGATAGTCTGGGACATGGAACATGGAAACATGGAAATCCAAGTTCCTCGATGTGTGTGCTCAGTGTAGATGTAGCAGAAACTTGCAGGTGTTACATATCTCGGCAGACTGTTGCTTAAAAAAAAAAGGAAAATTGTAGTGCCATAAAAAGTTGGAATATTCTCCTGTACATACCCAAAAAATATTTGCTATATGTTCTCAAACATCCTTCTAACCTAGGGAGACTAGAGGAAGAAGGGAATTTTTAAGTGTTGGGTCACCTTGCTCTTAAACAAATTCAGTAAAGTATTCCTAATTCAGATGGCAAGAAACAAAAAATTTGATCAAATGCATTTTTTTTCGATCATCTTCTGACCCTTAAAAGATTTTTTTTAAATTGCAGAGATACTAAGATTTGGTGTTTTCACAAATGGGCTGAGCATCTGAAAAGGTGGCAGGGAGCAGTGTGATATGACTTAACTAGCAAAATGCAAGTTGTGTGTTTGAATGCAGAAGTAGGGATAAGAATAGAATAGAAGAGAAGGGAATAGTATTACTCTAGGGGGCTCACTAAACTGCAGAAAATAGGCAACAATTCGTTAGACCAAAGCAATCTATCCCAATATTTGCTCTRTATTTCTTTTTTTTTCTTTGTCCTTTTCTGCTTTTGGTATACTTGATATCAAAGTTGGTTGCAAGCACRAAGAAGGCTAAATAATACCTTCTATTAGCTACAATTCTTTCGTTTTTTTAACTTCTCCTTTTTGCAACTGTTTGTTTGTTTGGTATATGGCTGCCCTCCAGAAAGTCATAATATTGTGGTTTGGCATATAAAAACATACATAGGGTGGCAGCAAACTCACTGATGTCACTTACTATAGCTTTATTTAGAGCAAGAAATATGAGGTGAATGCCCAAGCAAAGATGTGTAATGTCCCGATTAGCAGAAAATCTTGGTCTGTGAAATAGGCTGGAACATTCAAGCTCCACGTGATATTTTCRAGTACTTCCCTTACTTTGAAATAACAGGATTTATGAGTCACTGAAATTYCTGCCGTGTGGTACAAACAACTGATTTGAAGAATGAAGTTTTGGTTTTCAAGAGATCATGGATTAATCCCCAGACAGCAGCACTTGAGGCTGACTGTATACGGGAGAAAAACTGTCCACTGCCCCAGCTGAGCAAGCAACCCAGCATCTAACAAATTACATTTTCTCTGCCCCTTTTCCTCCCATACTAGAAGCACTGGCAGATCTCAAAATGTSATTTAGCAGCTGAGAAGGAAAAAAAGCCCATGAACTTCAGAAAGCATTAGTTAGGTCTTAAAAATTAAACATTACAGTAGCCACGTGCTCTGCAGTTTCACAGCATGCAGCAGCAAGTGGCGTGGTAGCCTTACACTGAATGAGGGAAGATGAACTGCAAACAATCAGCTGACCAGAMTGAAGCCTCAGAGAACAAGCTAAGGGCATCCACAACAATAAATYAGCAATGACCAGAAGGCTAAGGAAAGAAGAGCTTTCATAAATGTGCCCAGGGAGGGAAAGGCATATGAAAAGCCTGTTAATACAGGAACAYTGAATTGAGATTGATAACTCTGAAATGGTGGAAATCTATTTAAAAAGTACTTGAAATGAGGGAYGGTTGAAAATCAATGAGGATGTAATGCAGTAAGTGATGAAAACAAGTAAGAAAATATTTGTGAAATGTGAGCTTACTGCAGCATAGTGGGAGTCCAGATAATTTGCGGTACTGGTCGGTAAGGGAATCAGATAATGGACTTGCTACAGTTCTGGCAAGTGATATCACTCAGATAAGTGGCAGAGCACTAGGGATGTGCTAGCAGACTGAGGAAATAACATACCTCAGTGAACAAAGGTACTTCATTTGTTGACAGTTACAAATARTTTGAGAAGATTGTAAAGACAGATCAACTGGCTTTTAGTAAGGCATTTGATATAAGCGTTTAGGAGGTTTCAGATGTTTATGTGACCATGATTAGAGTTAATGATTAATCAGAAATATCTACAAGAATGCTCACATTTCTACTCTGCCTTCCATGTCCTAATGAAGAGGATAGAGAGAGATATTTACCTGGGCAATAGTGGAAGAAGAAAGCCACAGATTGTATTTAGACAATTCAAGTAGAGATCTAATTATATTTGACCCAGTATAAGCCTAAGGTAAGCTGAAGGAAAAGTCTGGACTGCTAGTGTTCAGAGAATRGGAGCAAACTGTAGAGTTGAGAGGTTCTGACAGTAAGTGAGATCTGAAGCCATGGTGGTTCAGATGAGTAAAATGTAGTTTGAGCTGTAGGAATCTCCTATGGCTACAGTAATGCTGCACTTAGTTCTGAGTCTGCAATTGCCAGAGAGCTGCAAGCAAAGCCATTGGAAATGGGAGTTTAGGAAGGAGCTGAAGAGCTGAATATTTACTGCTTGGTCAAAGCAGAGGCTGCAACATGTAATGATTGTCTTTTTGMAAGGTTACCCTCTCAGGAAGGAGGAAACAGGACTTTTGAAGGCATTCTAGTAACCAGAATATTATGCTACTTCCACAGACTTGTCTTAGGAAGTTTCCCACCTGGAGAAGTCCTCTTCTACACCTCTGYTGAGATCTGGCCAAGCCAAAATCAAAACACAAGAACCAAGTCCCTGCTTGTCAGGACTAATACTACATGTTTTAAGGGATGCAGCAGTCAGCATAAGTAGATTTGATCCCTTCCTTTTGAACCAAAATTTACCAACACTTCTGCAGAGACTGACAGGATTGCAACACTGAGTATTTGGGGCAGGCAGCTGTATGCACCTGCCACCTCTCCTGGGAATGACTGAAGGGGCTGGGCATAAAGAGGGAATCTCTCTCCATGGAGTTAAAAGAGGCAGTTTAACTCTCTAACCTTTGGAGTGGACATGCCTCCTGGTCTTGAAACTTACACTTGCCCTGAAACTCTCAYTTGCAGTTGCCTGGTTCTCCTGTTAAGAATAGCTAAGTAAAAAAATAGGGTTGTTCTTAGCAGCTCAGCCTTAGGCAATATGCTTATTTAATCTCCARCACTCTTGCAATTTTTCAGTATCACGCAACAGGCTCCTTGGTGGGACTTACCCTCCTGCAAAAAAACCAAAACCAGATCTTAAAATGGAGGGAAGAAGAGCAGGAAGAACAAGRTTTAAATGTCATTAGGCTGATCAACATTTTTGTGCAGGTACATGGATTGCTTTGTCTTTCTGCCACAGCCAGTAGGGKTTTTTCTTACCATGTCACATGAGGGACATGAGAAACAAGTTTTATGCCTTAGCCCTTCCAGCAAACAGATCTATTCCTAATTGCATAGTAATCATCAGAAATGCAATCTGGTGGTTTTAAAGTACCTGCAGTAATTATATCCTGTTCCACCTGAATTTCTGTTTTGTTGTGGCAGTGGGTTCTTAGCAAACTAAATGCATTCTGGTCAACATCAAGGAAGGCTTCTGTAAGTCTTCCATGGAGCCTTATCTTTGCAAGTCACATATTCCCATTGCATATGCCCTTACAAACTAACTGGATTAGTTCTAATTACACAACATAAGCCAACCCTCCTGTGTAAATCAAACAAGCAACATTTGCATGTGTGCATATAAAATCACATTTAAAAGGAGTCTGAGGTAGTTTTCATCTCGGATGGCTTTTCTATCAGAGAAGAGTTGACCCAATGCTGTGCTGGTTTCCTGATGAGCATCTGTGCAGCTCTGGCTTGTGATGCACTTCAGCATTAAAGTGTTCTTTACAGACACATGAAATTGTCACTGCAGTTTAATGCTCCAGGTATGAGCTTCTCTTGAATTATCTACAATGATGAAATAGAAGTAAAATAATATAAAACTCAAAAGTTTATAACCATGGGTTGCATTCAAAAAAAAAAAAAAGAGGAACTTACTGTTCCTGTATGATAAATGGACAATAGATGAGGTGGAAAAGAGCATTCTGTGTTCAGGATATATGAACTCTCTGGGGCAGAAGAGATCCTTCACTATTCTCCCGTAGCCTTGCTCATGAGCTCCCATGGGCTGGGGGCCAACAGGCCCTTGCAAAGTGAAGCGCTGCTCGAACTTCACCCCAGGAGTTTGGCAGAACCTGAAAGAGAGAGCCAGCCTSCAGGCACATCTGCCTGCCTTGAGATAAGGCCTTTTCAAATTTTCCTGCAGATRCTTCTGCCTGGAGTCTGCTTCAGACATCTCTGTCTCTATCTAACCTACCTGACTTCCTGGAGACTGATTTCTTTACTCCCTGCCCCRTGTGCCTCCCACTCCCCCAAGCTCTTGCATACAATGTCCCCTGCATTTGCATACATGGAGCCATGACTCCCTGGGTCTCCCCACACAGGTTTTGCAGAAGGAAATGGCCACCAGGAGCCCCTCCTCTCCAGAAGCCTCTGCATCTACCTGAAGCCTGTGTGGGAAGTCACATTATATCAGGACACAGTATTCATGATTTGAGACACCTCCGAGCCAGCCTGAGAGCACAAACAGAGCTGTACATCACAGTGGTGCTGATACAGCTCCAGCATGACCTGTCTTTCCAGCTGATGCAGTTTCAAGGTTCTGTCCCATCAGTGCCCTTTACTCACATATTTAAACTCCATATAACCTGGCATTTCTAGCAAAATGATACCCTACTTAACCCTTGACCACTGGTCAACTCCTCCTGCCTGTTCTTCCCAGACAGCTGCCTCTGCCTGTACTTCTCAGGAGCAGTACACCTAGAAATTTAGGAGTACTAAAGCTCCCCCCTGACCCCAACAGGAGAGTGCTTCTGGTTCTCCAGACACTTGTCTGAAACACATCCAAAGGTTTCTTTTCTCCTAAAGAACACTGATGCAGTGAGGAACCTTCCTGTCTGGTTGTTCTTCTGTCCTCCACCCCTTCAGTGCACAGGGGGCAGAGGAAACACCAGCATTTTGTCCATCGGGTGTACAACCCAGGGAAAGAGGAGACACCTCCGAGCCTCCACACAGGAGTAACTGTAGYTTGTCTGCAAACAGTTGCTTAATTGTTTGCGTCTCATAACAACAAAATTAACTTTCTCATATTTTTCCCTTCTGAGCATTGCTGTACAGAGGATGAGGAAAAGAGCGTGAAAAAAAGGGCACAAAATACTCAGGCAAATTTGCTGAAATCCATGATATTGTCAGGGATAAAAAACAGACACCCTTATTTTGGGTTATATGACTGAAACACGAGCCCATCCTTCTTTTCATTGCAAAACTTCAGAGCAGCACCTATCAAAGAGCACACATTATACAAGTAACACAAGCAATCTAAGTTAGCTCTTGCAGAAGGAAATACATATGACTGTCAATAATAGGTCAGTACTGAGGTAACCAAGGTATGTATGAAACCTGATGGCATATAAGGCTGTCATCTCTGTGTTGAAAAAAACAAGGATGTCTCTCTGACCTTTTCTTATGTATTTAYCTACTTCGTTTTGGAAAAACATTGGATAACATTAAAGCTACCAGCAGAGTGTCTCAGTATTAAAATCAGTATTGAAGAACAAATAAATGCACACAAGACTCTTCGTGATCACAGCTGAAATAAACTGGTTCTGGCAGCAAACTTCTACTTAAGTGGTCACTGGACAGATTCCATCCTTACAATGATCTATTTTGAGAAGGTTTATTCTTCCAACAATAACAGAAACTGTCACGAACAGAGGGAGTCCTATAAAGTAACTAAAGAGTACATGAGAGCAACATGTGATTTCTTTTTTCTGTTTTAAAAAATCTGTTAGAGTGCGTGTGACTGAAATTTATAGCTGTGCATCCRAAATCATTTACTTAGGACTTTGTATATATTGCACCACTTGGTGTACAGGAAGAGGAAATAAACTGCATTTTACAGCATTCCCACCTCTGATGATGATTCAGATGGCCCTGGAGGTCAGCCAGGGGACTCAGAAGCCACAAAGCCCCAGTGCACACTGTGCATCTTCCATGCTCTGCTCAGCTCTTACAGACCCTCAGTGTGGACTCATCTCTGGAAAAGAYGCCCCAGGCTTGTGGTGCTGGCTGTTTTCTATCTAAAAAATTCCCAATGAAAACAGGACTCCCAAATACCAGTGCTAGTTTCTAACAGTGCACAGGAGCCAGAAAACTGCTGAGGTCCAATTAATGATGTTTTCTGTTTTATATCCAAATTACTCCGTTTTAGCAGGTTTCCTAAAAAAATTGCATGGTTTTGATTATACCATCTGATCATCTGTCTGTGGTTCCTTCTRTACCAGTCGCTTTTTAACCCCATAGCCAATTTTCAGGAAATTAATTYTCAAAGATGACTATGTTCTCATAGCTAGAGTAAGAATTGGCAAGGAAGGAAGAGCAGGCAAAACCCAGCTGCTATGAATGCTGTTAGCAACCRGCTGGCTGATCAGCACACATGGAAATGTGCTATCTAGAGTAGTTTACCAGACTTTTGTCTCACTGGGGTATTAAAGAGGACAAAAGGCACCAAACTATAGGAAACTAGGTTTCATACACACATTCTGTGGCTCAAAASCATCTTGTTTCAAGTATCAAAGCAAGATTCTTCCATGTTCAAACATGAAGTTAACCTAGGAACAAGGAGCTATGTAAATTCAGATGTGAAAGGGCCAAAGCTTGTAACTCCACCCTGGGGATTGCTGAATTGCTGCAAATTTCATACTTAATGGAAATCAATGAAATTATCCATGATCCAAGAGCTTTGCAGATGGACCTCAAATATCCTCTCTCAGGATTCCCAGGATCCTGCCATTGTAGAACCTTCCAGYCTCCCAGCACTTACTAGAAAAACAGGATCATTGCAGAAGAACTTCTACAGTGAAACAGAAACCATGAATGATCTTTCACTTAAATGGAATTGGACATAACAATCTGATTAAAATAAAACAATTGTTATTACATTTTTGGCCTTCTGACCAGCTTCTAGAAATAATTGTGCACTAACCCATTAGTGTATCACTAACCTTTTATCCTGTCATATGACACAATATATTCATTTGCTTGCTCTTTCATTTGGCAGAGAATGGCATTTCTGCCAAAGCATGTGAAATTTTTYAAGACATTTCACATATCCTGATTATTTTGAAGAAACTGCTGGCTCAGTTCAGCTGAGGAAATTTGCATATTTATTCATCTTCTAATCTTAAATCTAACAAAACTTACTCCATAAGGGTTAAGGTATGGGAGCATGTCAGCATTACTGAACCAATCCAGACAATAAAAGATGTTTTTCCATCACACACAGCAGACAGAAGAAGCYCCAACAGCCACTGACACCCTCTGTTTCAACTACAGAGTTGTCCATGCATCAACATATGGAGCCTCCTTTATTCTGCAGGGCACCACAGGCCCCCAAAAAGGATCCAAAACACCCAAGGCAGCCCAAGTCTGAGTAAGAATGTTTAGACTCACCAGTGAACTGCAGCTCTGGCAGACTCCAGAGCAAGGCTCTGATGGGCTTTTCACAGGAAACACCACTGAACAGCAATCACTAAGTTCACTAACCAGTTCTCATCACTAATCAGTTCTCTAACTTGATGTAGGTTCTGCCTACTCATACTCCTCCTCTCCAGATAGGGACTCCTTAGCTTGATAAAATTTTGAAATAGTCAGGCAAGACTTCACAAATTCAGGTGYAAAACAAAAGAAAGCAAAGAGCACAAAAACACCAGACCAAGCCTTCATCCTCTACCATTACTCCTGGAATCCCTGCACTGCCAGGGGACAGAGCCTCCTTCCCACCTGCTTCAGCTGTGGCCCAGTACAGCCTGAGAGGGTGAAAGAAAGGCAGCAGGTGTTGCTAAGTCCCTTACAATGATAATGAGAAAAGGATACCACTGGAAGTTTGCTTGGATCCCTGGCAGGGAGAGGTTTGCATCTCTATGTGCCTTCTCTTCTCTGTAGGCACATTGGTCCTTCTGAGATTTGTGTCCTGAATCATCAAAACATTATCCTAATCATACAAAAAATTGTGTCACTGCTGCCATTTCTCATTCTCTGCTACCATGTTCTGCCTGCCCCCCAAGGGTTGTTATCTGTATTGGCCAAATTGAAAGCCACCAAAGAGTACCTGCTGGCCCTATGGCCACCAAAAGAGCTTGGGTTAATACAAGAATGCTCTCTGCTTACAGTTAATGAATTTTATAAATAATGGGCAAGTACTAAGTCGGGTTGTGCTTGTCCTGGGCACCAAAGTTGACATGGTGGAAGAGTGGCTGAGCCAAGGCCAGGCTGCAGAACCCCAAGAGCACATGAAAATGGTCCTGCAACGCTGCTGCATGGCTGCCTGGATGGTCATTATATGGTCATGAAATGATCAGCACAAAGCAGTGATAGCTGATAATGCCTGCTAAATACTGCTGTGGTTCTAATACTAAGTGGTTCTATTTGCAAGTTCGTTTTGCCAGTTCTTAATTGCAGTGAAACTTGGGAAGATAAAAACATCAAAGGAATCCTTTTAGCTAACCAGATAAGACTTGTTTTTATTCCTACGACTTTTTAAAATTTCTCACCCTATTCCATTTGAAAACCTGCTGTAGGCTGTTAAGAGTTTAAATTAATATATGCTTATTTGGTGACTTTGAAGGTAAATGAAAGGTTACATATAGTGGACAAAATTGCTTCTTTTTAATAGTTTGCAGGTACATAAGAAATAGAATTAAATATCCTTCTGGTTGCCCAAATTGTCCATTATAAACCCTAGACCAGTAACTTTTGAATTGAATTTAAAAACTCTCACTAAAGATTGTGATGTATCTTGGAGGTGTATCTGCCTGCTGTCAGTACTATCTCTGTGAATTATTATTAGCAAAAAATTCTTCACCAACTTTCTCTGCACAAGCTTCTGCAAAAACATTAAAAGACTGACTTAAACACCAAAGGAGGTGGGATTCAGAAAGGAACTTATCCAAAGGTCACTAATGGGAAACAGACCCTTACAGACTTTGCAGAGCCTTTACAGCCTCTGAAACAGCCCTAAACTGAGGTGTAGCGAAAGAACCTGTCCAACGAGAATGCAATGAGTAGGAATGGAGTCTCTTTTAAATTGCCTGCTTTGTTTTAGTCTATATTTGATCCTATTTAAATAATGAATAGTTCTCATTTATGTTCTAACCAGAATTAGCTCTTAAGAGCCAAAGCCTTTCTCATATATTATGGATGCTTGCTTTAATGAAAGTCATCTCAAAGCTCTGGATGACTTTGGTGGTCCCCACCCAACAGGAAATCACCTTTTAATTCTTTTGTTAATTTCCTGAAACTTTTTTTTTTCAATTAAAAATAGTATCCATTACAAATACATTATGGGAGAGACTTCTGGCTAATTGAAAACACATGAAAAGCATTAAAATACCATAGAAATGAAAACTATGAAACATGTCGTAGATCAATAAAAGAAAAAGTTTGCGCATCCCTCTGCTTTACAGTAGAGTTGTAAAGAATAAGATTCTGTAATGTGAGAAAAAAATTCAAGGAGATTGTATTTTCTGGCGTTTTGGACTTCTATGTGTATGAACATACCGTGTCAAAGCTTTCTAACAAATGTCACCTAAAGTCCAAAGCATGTCCCTATGGAACAGCATAAATGTCCTCCCTGAGCCTTTCAGCACACTCAAATAACGATGTCCTTAAGTCCTGCTGCATTTGACTTCAAAAATTTCATAAATGCAGTTTGCTCCTTAATTTTAGAACTACATCAGTTTTAAATGAAAAGTCTTGAAGACCTGGCAGACAATTTTTAATTAAATACTTTGTGATTTTCATACAGTTTTCCACAGATTTTAAAGAGCCAGAAACATTTTAGCTGCTTGAACAAAGGACCAGGATAGACACAAGTGTCATGTCTATCCCAGGTGGAGATTGTATGAGCTCCTGGGAAGACCATGGTGGCTTATCCAGAGGGAAGAGGAGCTGCTTTATGAGGTTTTGATGGGCTGCTCCACCCAAACAAAATGCCACCTTCAGTCACTTTCTTTCAGCATCTTTYCATTTCATATGAACTGAAGAAATAAATCGAAGTTGCCTTCAAATGTGTTCAATCACTGCAACCACGTGTCCTTTACAGAGCATTGGGGGTGCTGGGGAAATTTATGGGGTCAGAAATACACTGCCCCTCCTCTGCACAGTGGGCAGAGCATTGAGGGTGGTTATTGCTAATTAAAGATACAGCTGCAAGGTATTTTACATATTTTTATACTTGCAGAGCTCATTTTGCTTTAAGTATTACTAACTCTACCTTCACTTGATTTTCCTCCCTCACTTGTAGAAAACAAAGCAAATTATTTGTCCAAAGAATAAAGTGGTAAAGGAGTGTCCTTCTTTATATTTATACATCTTTTCCTCTGCTGCAAATGTTTGGAACACTCCACCTCATTGTGCCTTCCCTCTCTGTTTGCATAGCTGAGATGGAGAAGATGATGAAGAACCCCTGTCTTACAGATTTTGTGTAAAGTAGCCCCAGACAGCAGCGTTGTTTTTAACATTTTTTTTGAAAATTCTCTCTCCCTTCTCAGTCACAAGGCCCTGAGCATTTATTCTGAAGCTTTCCACCATGCTCCAGTTAGATAGGGAATTTTGCATTGTAACTCACCTTTGTGCTAAGTGTTAAGACACAAGTAAAAAATTAAAGCAAACAAACTGATCTCACTCTTCTGATAGTTCATCTGTGGTTCAACAAGAAAATTTTGAGATGTCTTATCAGGTAAAGACACCTACCAGAGCCCAGAGCTGGATTTCTTCTGAGGTATTGGTGAAAAACATATCCATGCAAAATACTGCTCCAAAAGTGGCTGCTGCTGGCAGTGCTCCAGCCTGGCCATGTGGTGCCTCAGCAATGCTCCTTACTCACAGAACCAGAAATTCAGTTGGAAAAAACCTTTAAGRTCATCGRGTCCAACAAYAGCTCAGCACTGCCAAGGCCTCTCCTCACCCCAGTGCCAAGTGACAACACCACCACAGTTAATGACATCCAATGGCATTCCCACTGTGAGGTTCATTTCCTCATTTTCACTCATCAGTGACCTTCGGCTGAGTTTTACTACTCAGAAGATTATTTATGCCTAAAAATATAAACATTTTTGTGTTCAAAGTAAAGGTATAGGGTCACAGATGAGGAAGAGAATATAAATGTGAATCTGGGTGAAATCCAGGAATTTAGCTGCCAAGAAACAGGTAAACAGCTTTATCATTTGCTCCCAGTTTCAGATTTTTCAATTTCATCTGAGACAAAAAGCCAGCATGAAAAGGTAAAGAGGCTCTCACTTCCCATTATATCCTAAGTAAAACAAATGTAACCACATGGGTAATATACTACATTTCTTTACTTTTGTCAATGTCTTGATTAAACTTCTGATTTGAATAAAATTCAAATACATGAAAAGGTATTAGTAATGAGTTAGTGTTCTCTCAGCACTCATGTGAGGCAGTTTTTATTTGTTACCATAACACCCTCAAAAGCTGAACTGGTAAGAAAATTGTTCTGTGAAGGATTACTTATAACTTGAGTTTCCTTGGCCTCTATGTTTTAGCAAATACTGATTTTTCTTGGGTTTTTCATTCTACAACACACCATTCAATAACTAGCTTTTCTTGACAGAAGTTCTTTTGTGTTGTGTAATAATAGAAGAAGTAGGTACTCTGAAATGTAACAAACAATTAGTAACTAAGAGATCAAATAATATCTATAATAACTATTTTTATTTCATAATTTTGTTCTTATTTAATAAAAACTTTTTTTTTGCCCTTATCCAAATACCTCTCACCACAACTGGAGCGTGAAAAATCAATGTGAATTTTCAGAGATCTGAATGTACAATCCATTTTCCTCCTCTTCACTTATGCTTCTCATTTCTTTACTTTGTTTCCTTCAGGTCTATTCCACTTTTTATACTTTGATGCCAGACACAGTAGAGGACCAAATTCAGACTATTCAGATTGGATATAATAACCTTTACTGAGAAGAATGGCAGCTACCGTGCATTTGATCTGAATTTTGTTTTAATAACTGCTCACCTTCTTTCCATGAGCAGCAGAGCAGAACCATTTGCAGTGAAGCCTCTCATGCTGGGCACCCAAAAGCTTTCCCTTCCTCCCAGACCATGGGGTACAGTAGAGCTCTGAGCAGCCAGCTGCAATTAAGCAGCATGGCTGAGGGAAGATTTGTTAAGCTATTTTTCTCTTTTCGGGGAGACAGTTTAAATTATAGATCTAAGAAGCAGATTTTCCTATTACATGATGCACACACATTTTCTGTAATGATTCTAATCATGTTATAAAGTATTTCCCATGCTGAACTCATAGCTCTGGTGATCAGTGCAGTCCACATGCTAGACAGATTTTACCCTCAATATTTCACTTAAGCCAGGGATTCCAAGTAGGCTGCTGTATTAAATCAATTTTTTGGTTCTCACACGGTAACACAGTAAAGCCATGTTAGGTTTTCCAGCATTGGCAAAGAAAGCTGAAATAAAATAACCATATTCCAATGCAGATTTAAAACAGAATCAGAGCAAATTTACTGCTCCTATCACAGAGAATACAAACAAAGGATATTGGTGTTCATTTAAGTTCATTCTTCTATTTCTCTCCACACCTCCAAGTGAGTCCCCCTCAATGCTGTCAGCCACAGAAGGTGGATCCAGGTGGATTTAAGTCCTAAGGTGAAAGCAACACATCATTAGGAGTGCTCAGAGTCTGCCTTCCTTTTATGCCATAAATGTTATATATAAAGGGGGCATTTAGATTAAAAGCTGGTTGCTTTGTAATATATTCATCTTTTCTCTCCTCTCTCCATAGCCTGTATATTTACTGCTTGCTCTAGCTTCTAAG